GCAGAACGCCTGGAAACGGAGAAGAGAAGATTTAAACAAAGCCTTGAAGACATGGAATCCCTTCGAGTAAAAGAGGTAAGAATGGGATTTCTGCAGCATCCTGAGGTTAGTCTCTCTTTGGTCCTGACATACAGGCGCCGCTGGAGGTCATTGCTGTCAGCTGCTCTTAAGCTTAAAAATTAGTGTACTCAGACTTACTGTGGGAATAATAGGCCATTTCTGCAAGCAAAGCCTAGCGGAGGAGATCACAAGACATTCTACCAGCTAGTGAGATTTTGACACTTGCAAGAGCGTGGGCCAGAGTGGTTCGTGGTTCTACAAAAGAGGCCTGGAGGCTGGCCCTCATGTCAGTCTTGCTATATAGAGAGGTAATTACGAATAAGCTGTCTTGTCATGCTCACCGAAATAAAGATGTGTTAATGAAGGAAATTGAGACATACATGCTGTATACAACCGTTCCTTTAACAGGACTCAGCTTGCTAGTTCCTTCTCTGTTATGTTTCAGGGGGATTCTGTCTGAGTGTGGACAGAACAAGTGGCTGTGATCACCTCTCTTTGGAGTGTTTATTGAGGTGTGAAATCTCTCAAAAATAAAGTTATACCAATAGATTTCTCTGAAGTTTTTGAAATCTTGTAAGAAAAGACATAGGCCAGGAAGATATTAGCCATATTACAACTAGAAAATGAATCTCTGGTGTTTTGTACCACTTGAAGATGAGAGCTTGGACTCTGTATCTTTCATCTTGGCCTGGAAGGGATCTCTGACTGAAGTCCGCAGTTTCTAGAGGGCAGATTCTATCTCTATTAGTGGAGCTCTGAGGGAGGTAAGAGTTTTTCTTTGGTGGTAGGTGGGTCAATGAGAGGATGCTCTTTCTCATGCCAAATGGCCATACTTCTATGCCTGAAGATAGGAGTGGTTTTCTGGCACTTGCTTAAATGGTTTCTACTGCTTTGCAGGTGGATCGTATGACACAGCACATTGGGGCCAGTGAACGTTCCATGCAGGACCGGATCCAGAGGCTGGAGGCCATGAGGATAGCTCTGGAGGAGGTGAGAATGGATGCTCCGGGAGCATTGGAATGCTCCGGTAGTAGAGGTGGGAGAAGGCTGCCAGGGAAGCTTTGTGAAGTCTTCCAGTGCTGACGCAATCTGTGTAAAGATCCTCATGTGCCGTACAAAGGAGCAGAAAACAGCAGTTCACCAGCTAAAATTATTTTTAGTGTGTTGGACTAAGGAAGGAGAAGGTTCCAAGGAGAAACTTGCGGATTCTGATCGAACAAAAATAAAGTTTCCATTGAACCATGGTTAGATGCTTACCAGGATTTGACTTCACAAGTTTTGTGTGTGGTTCCAAGTAGCGTAGCATATTTCTCCTTATCTGCTCCCCCCGCTAGATCCAGTGCTGCCCACTCCTGTTCCCCTGTCTTTGGAAAGCTTCATCCATTATTGCTGTCATATAACTGAAATTCTCATTGAATTTAGATGGCAATCTCAGGGTGAGAAAATATGCGTAATCTGGGTTTGTTTTCCCTGCTCCTGAGAGAGGGAGACAGCCGTGTCATGTAGCAGACTGGAAGCTGCTAATGTTTTCTGGTCAGTGTTGCAGTGATGCAGCTTCTCTAACTGGAATGATCTTTCATGTTCCCGTGGCAGGAGCTGAGCCACGTCAAAGCAGCTGCACTCACTGAGCGAGGCCAGGCAGAGGAGGAATTAATAAAAGTTCGGAATCAGGCACGGTTGGAGGAGGTAAACAAGACCTGTCTGTGGGCCCTGCCTCTGTGGGGAGGGGTGGATTTGACTGCCTGGACTATGTGTTTGGGTTGGGGAACTGCTGAGTAACTCCCTGCTCTGGGTTTCACTGCCTGCAAGTGGTGCGATTTGTGAAGAGGGAGTCCTGAGAAGTCTGCTTTGAATTGTCTCTGGAATGTAACCACTATCCCCACCTGCTCTGTGCTTTCCAGTAGTAACAAAATTCATGTGGATATTGCCATAGCAGATTTCATCTGATTTGCCAACTTCTGAAGCTAACAGCCAGCTGTCGATCCTTCTGTTTAACAGCAGCTTTCATGTGCTGCTCCTGTTTCTCTGGACTCAGAGGAATTTCCACAGGTGGCTACTGACGCTGGATAAAAAAAAGTCACTGCAGAGTTCACTTTGTGAAAATGACAATGAAGTCAACACCCTGTGAAAGAGAACAAGGAATGAGGAAAATACACCAAAGATATTAGAATGTTTACTTACTTGTAACGTCACAAAAGAAACGTGTCTACGGTGGGACACTGCAGTTGCTTCGCTGGGTACAGTGGTTCTTCAGAGCCATTTGGGATATGGAGGAAGCGAAGACAGAGCATTGGTTGTAAACACTGGCCGTGGCATCGGTGCTTCTACCAAGGACATGGCTCCCTTTCTCAGCGAGTGAACTGGGCATTGCAGCGTCTCCATCAGAGTGTTTTTCCTGGCAACAGATGGCAGATTAGATCCACTCCTGAATGCAAGGGAGAAGCATTCTTATCTATTATGGCTGAGTTCTGTGCTCGTTCAACCAAGGGTTCACTGTGTTGGGAACGAAAAGAGGAGAATCCCTTCGCAGGAGTGGAATGGGACTGATGTATTTTCATTTTCCTTTGTGTCTTACAGCAGCAACGACTAGAACACTTAGAAGAGAAGCTGCGGCTGATGACTGAGTCACGAGATGAAGCTCAGACCTGCTGCCTTAAGCAAAAACAAATGGTTGCTGAGGCCCAAGCCAAAGCAAATCAGTTGACCCTGCATGCTGATGGACTCAGAAGGCGGCTAGAGGAACTTCAGCAGGTAATTTGGACTGGAGCACAGATGTAGTCGCCACAGAGGCAGAACAAGTTCCTGAAGTTATTTGGTTATTAACGGATTTATTTTTGTGTGTCAGGACCTGAACAGTAAAGAAGAGGAGAAAGTGACAGAGGTGAATAAAGTGAAAGTGGAATTACAGGAGCAGATCGGACACCTGCAGGCTGAACGCACAGCACAAGAAGGGCTGAGAGAGAAGATTGCAGCCCTGGAGAGACAGCTGAAAGGTGATGGATCCTTTCGTGCTTCTCAAGTGGTAAAACTGGGTTACCCTACAGTGGGCCTGGAACTGAGCTACGCTTACAGGTAGTGACAGCAGTGCTTCCTGCCTGTGCGTACAACCATGAATTGTACCCTCCATCCTGATGTATTTGCAGGGATTCTTGTCCTCATTTTATAGAGACCAAGACTCAGATAACTACCCAAAGCTGCACAGCAAGCAAAACGTTTGGATTTCCTGCACAGTAAAGTGTAAAATCTTGTCTGTGTGAAACTTCACATTGTCTCATGCAGCTTCTCTCATGTGCCTGTTGATCATCTTGCCTTTGGCTGTGCCTGTATGAATTGCCCCTGTTTATTCTAGGGACACCCTAATTTTCTTTACTAATATTGCTGTTCTTTCACAGCCCTATCAAGTAATCACCGCGAGGCACTGCTGGACAAAGAAGGTGAAATCTCCATGCTGCTGGAGAAGCTAAGAATGAGAGAGGCAGACATCTCGAGGATGAGGGAAGAAGAGGCCCAGCGAGCAAGTTTCTTGCAGAAGGCCATCATGGCATATGTGCAAGGCTCCCCCTTGGGGACACACAGTTCTAGAAAATGAGAGCATGGCTTAAAGAGTCCAGATACCTGCTGTCAGGATGAGGGTCAGCAACTCAGGTGCAGCCCCTTCTTTCTAAGTGGGACAGTTTTGTCACGGTGGGGTGACACGAAGGCTTGCAAACACAGAAAATCGCTCTTGCTCTTCAGAAATCTTGCTCCTGACTGCATAAAGGAGAGAAGGAAACAACCATCCATGACAGGGATAGAGGCTCATGCGTCTGAGTTCGTGATGTGAAGCCCTTCCCCTGCACTGCTACAGCATTTGAAGTAGTTTCTGTGTTCTTTTACACAGCAACAGTCTGTCGGCACACCTTGTTACCACAGGGTTGCACGTTCCCTGGGCAGCGATCCTTCTGAAGCCAGGGCTGTTGACAGTGAAACCTGGTTAATGACGGGCAGCAGTGTTTGCAGCTCCCTGTAGGCGGGAGCCGTTTTCTTTGCTCATGGGGTCCTGAAGCTACTGGAAACACGAGATCTTACCCACCTGTGCTTTTATTCCCAGTGCTTAGAGATGGAAGCTGTGGCTGACAGGGCTCACTTTGGCTCTTTTACCCTGCACCTCTGTGGCTCTGGCTGTAGCGATGGGCAACAGATACATGATATGTAGAAACAGCTACGCAGAGGAGGACTGCTGTGGAGTGGCTATCGGTATCCTTGTTGGACAACTGGACTTTGGCCGTGGTTCAAGCCTCTACAACATTAACTGGTATGGAAAGGCTGGGGTGGGGTGCGAGGGGTCAGCATCTGTGCTTCCTCACTTGTGAACTGCAGCCCTTCGCTGGAGTTCTTGTGGCCAAAATGCAACAGGATTTCAACCCACTGTGACAAATGGGAAAACTGTCTCCCACTGTCTTCTCAGGATCGTGGAGCCCAGTGCAGTTTTCGGGGCTTTAGCCTGGAGAGGAGCAATGCTTCTGACTCACCGCTGGGGAGTTAGTTGCTTCTCAGAGCACAAAGGGGAGAAGGTGCTTCCTTTTCCACAAGTCCTCATGTGGCATGAGAAAGGGAAGGGGTGCTAGGGTCTGAGTTGGAGAAAGCGGAGACCTCTGCCCGACAGCAGCACGAGAGCCTCTTGTTTGTTTCTCCGGTGAGTCTGTGGTGAGAGAAATGGACTTGCAGTACGTGTTTTAGGCAGCAACTGGAAAAAGAAGCTTCCTGTGTGGACTGGGTGGTTTGTGTTTGTGATTTTTCATACTGGGTTTTGCTCTGCTTTTTTTAATAAAGAGCTTTTGCGTTTTGCTGTAATACTGGACAGTGACAAGCTGGATGTTTGGCAGATGTGGAGGGAGCATCCTGCTGCTGTTACTGTCATGAAGATCCTCCTAGTCTGTCCTAGACCTAAAAGGTGGTTATAGGTGGATAAGCTAAGTATATCTACAAATTTTGGTTCTGAACTAAAGTAAAAGCAAGGAAGCTGGGAACCAATGCCCCAGTCACAAGGAGAGGAGAGAGAGTGTGGATGCTGGGCAGCTCTGTAGACCAGCAGGTAAGGGAAAACCAAAGCCTCTTGTTTTGAGACAGTACCACTAGAATCATAGGATGGTTTTGGTTGGAAGGGACCTTAAAGATCATCTAGTCCCACCCCCTGCCATGGTCCACTAGACCA